CCAAACAGAGCTGCGAGCACCGCGGTTGGCGTTTGGCGCCCCAAAACGGAGCCGGGAGTCCCAGAACTTGGGGTTTCGAGAGCCTCGAGCACCACAATTAGGGTTTGGAGCCCCCGAAACAGAGCTGCCAACTCCAGAACCGCGGTTGGAACCACAGAATAGAGCCATTGAGGCTCAGAATTGGGGTTGGAAGCCCTGAATAGAGCTGGGGGCCCTGGGCTTGGGGGTTTGCCCCCCCCAAAACAGAAACAAGAGGCCCAGAACTGGGGTTTGGAACCCCTAAAACAAAACCAGGATTCCCAGAATTGGGGGTTAGAACCCCAAAACAGAGCCAGGACCCCGAGTGCTGGGGTGTGAAAGCCCTAAAACAGAGCTGGGAGCTCTGGACTTGAGGTTTTGCCGCCCCGAAGCAGAGCTGGGCTCCCCAAAGTGGGGTTTTGGGATTCCCAAAACACAGATGGGAGCCCCAGGGGTGGGACTTTGAACCCCAAAACGTGACCAGGATCCCTAGAATTGGTGTTTGGCACCCCAAAAGAGAGCTGGGATCCCCAAAAGTGGATTTTGGCATCCCTGAAACAGAGCTGAGAGCTCAGGGTTAAGGTTTTGATCCCCAAAACAAAGCAGGGACCCCCCTTACCTTTACCACGGGCACGCTGAAGTTAGCAGAGATGAAGGCAGTGGAGCCACCAGCTTCCACCGCGCTCAGCTGGGGGAGAAGGAGAGACACGAGCATGGTCCTTCCCTGTGCCACGGCTGCTGCGCATGGGGAAATTGAGGCACGAACCCTCCCTTGGTCCCCAACCACGTTCCCCTCCTTGGCGGGTGCAAGCTCTTCATACCCTGCAGACATCATGTAACACCCCACCGCAGTCTGATTTAGGGCTGTCCTCACCCATCTCAAACCCTGTTCACTCTGAACCCTACTGATGGCCAAGGGCAGTGTCTGCAAATGAGGGAGGACTCACGTAGATCATGACGGTAGCGATCCTGTTGCCTGACTTCATCCTGTAAAGGGGGCTCTTCCTGGACTGCCCCAAGAGTGAGGAGATGGGATGGTCATTCCCATGGGAATGGTCAGTCCTGTGTGGACACATCTTGACCTGGAGGCACCTCAGGTCCTACCCATGGAAATCCCTCCCTCTCTCTTTTTTTCTCTCCCTTCCTCCTTCCTTCCCTCTACCCTCCCCTCTTTCCTCCCTCCCTTCCCAGGAATATGCCAGGCACCAACCCAGGGATCACCATCCCAGGACCCTTCCACCCCATCCCCTCCCCAGGGTCACCGCAGGGTCCCCCTGCAGCAACATCTCAAGGAACATCCCAGGGATTGCTATAGGATGTTCACCTCCAGGGACCTCCCTTGGGCACCATCCCAGGAGCACCGTGGGGAGCACCCCAGGGTCCATCCCAAAGACCTCCCAAGGACCATTCCAGGAGCACCCCAGGGACCATCCCAAGAGCATCCCAAGAACCACCCCAGGGACCACCTTAGAACCACCCCATGCAGCCCCCAGGCATCTCCCTGACCGTAGCGTGGTCGAAGTGTGGCTCGTAGTGGCCTCCCAGCCCATAGTTGACCACCTGCAGGTACTCGGCGTAGGGAGGCCTCAGGTCCAGGCCGGTGACAGCACCGATGCGCTGCTCCAGCGCCCGCACCACGGGGTCAGCCGTGTCCTTCAGCCAAGCGCTGCGGGAGCACCCACCTTCAGCCCCCAAACCCACCCATGGTGGGTGTCACCCGCGCTGCTGGGTGCGGAGGAGCCTCCCCAGGGCGGCTTCACCGTCACCTTGGTGGTGGCAATGGGGCCACCTTGGTCCCGTTGGCCACGGGACAAGGGATGGGGTGGCTCCTACCTCTTGCTTATCCGGTACTCGGCTTTCTGCTGCTTCTCCCCAGAGGCAACCACGGACCTCTGCAGCTGGAGGACACACGGTGGAGGGGAGGTTGCTGCAGGTGGGGACCCCACCACCAAGCAGGGACTCTGGCTGGGGTCAGACTGGTGGGTCTATACCAGCACATCCCACCCCAACGTGTCCCACCAGAGTGATGGAAGCAGTGAGAGGGGTTGAGTCCAACGCAGTTGGGTGCCACCAAGTCAAGCCTGGCTGGGAAGTGGTTTAGGTGCACTCATGGACCTGGTTTCTCCCCCCACATCTTTGGGGCAGGGTCAGAAGGAGCCAAACAGGGCTCATCCCACCCAAGGACCCACTGCAGAAGGCTTTGGCTAAGCCATGGCTTAAAACCCCCACTATATCAGCATGCTCAGATT